AAATAAACGCTTCAATCAAAGAAAAGTTCCTGTTTTTTCACTTTATGATATAGAAATTTCAGGTTTTTTACAAGGGGCCCACACTAAACAAAAACAAAACCAGAAAAATGTCTGTGAAGTTTTCTCAGTCATCCAGGTCATTGTAGTCTAAGGAGCTTGGAAAGAAAATTGTCTAGACTTCTGGACTTCCTCTACCTTATCACATGAGCCAAGGTGTGAGAACGGGGCTTCACAATGAGCTCACCCGAAACCTTGACTGATTGTCAAGGTTTCACCCGTTTTCACACCTTGGTTCGTGTGATTAAGTAGAGGATCATTAGGGGGTCCATTGTCCCTCTCGGGGGCACTCTCCACCTTTTGACCCTGCAGCTGAAGAAGCTTCTCGGATGAGAGGTGAAACGTCTTAAAGCCACTTGAAGAAGTCCAGACAGTTTTCTTTCCAAGCTCCTTAGAAAACCAAAAAAAAGAACATTTTTTGTGACGTAACAAGAACTTTCCGTTTTTAAATTACAGGATAGTCAGGGCAATAAGCTAGTAAAACTTTTTCTGTAATTTAAGCCCAGAGAGTCATGCTGACAGATTTCATTATAGTGTAGAAAAACAAAGACAAACTGTTGAACTTGCACTATATTTTCTCATATTTATTATTTACACATTTATTATATATGTAGTTTACACCAACAGAAAATGGTCCAGCCCACTGTGGGCTGTCAGGCTCACATCCCTAAAATAAGTCATTCCCAGAATAGGGTCTTACTTGGTGATGGTCTTGCATGTTGCAACTATGATTTCATGTGTAAATTGTTAATCAGTTGTTGTATTATATCTTAAAGCATGTGCAAATATTTTTCTGCAGTTTGGGTTGCGGCATCGGTTATGGCTACCTGCACCGAATCCCTGCTAATCCAGAAGTATCAACAGTCGAGCCTTCTGCCCCTGATGTTGAGGAGAAACACTCTCCAAAGCTGCCTGCGCATGGATACACAGAGGTGACAGTAAAATACAGCAAAATCTCACATTTGAGAAGCTGACACCAGTCAATAACTTTTACCGTGTGCGTGTGTCTCCAGGCACCTCTCATGGCACCTTCAAGCAATAGTGAAGAGTTGAACCTGGAGCAGGTCACCCTCGAGGAATCTTATCTACCTCCACCCATTCAAAGGGTCAC